GTTTCTAAAAAGACATATAAAGCAAACTTATGAATTGTACAAAAAGCCCAATAACACACCATTTAATTATGCCTCAGCAGCATAGTAAAAGTGAAAATTAGCATTTTACAATACAGTGTGTTAAAATAAAAGTACTCGATCATATATGCTTGCTGTTAAAAAAAGAAGTTAGAAAAATACAATTCTTTAAAGAAAATAACCAGATAAACCGAAGATTCTTGTAGTGTTCTGGTCATCCCATTATTGTTGAGTAAACAGAAGATTTGACAGTTTCTTTCAGAAAAAAAGGCAAAATAGTTTCTATTTGACACACTGTCATGAGGACAATATAAATAATTTCAAAAGCTTTCACAAAAAAAGAGACAAGCAACCCAATTTGTTTATTCCCAAGGATAATGCTGAGTTTATTTATATTTGAAAAGAAAGACTAAGTCCCGAATGTAATCCTCCATGTCTCTGAATTGTTTGACTTTGCTTCTATTGCAGCAATCCGGTCAGCAGGGTCATTACCGAGAGGCGATCCCGCCCTAAGGGCCTCCCATTTAAATCAGACAGCAGCTGGGTTTCTAAAGTCCTTTAGCATGCAGATCCCCTTACAGCTTTAGTCTGGGTTTCACTGCTTCTGCTCCTTATATGCCTTAGCTCCTCAACATTTTTAATTAAAGAAGCACGCACATAAGCTGAGCACTACACTGAAAGGTATTTGTAAATAATTGCTATCTTTTCTTTCATGTTATTGTGGGTTGCATTGTGCCCCTTCCCCCCGCCCAGAATTCATATGTTGAAATACCAACCCTCAGTACCTCAGAATGAAATTGTATTTGAATGTAAGGTCTTTAAAGAGATAAGTTCAAATGAGGCGGCCGTAGGAGGAGGCTCTAATATAGTATGACTGGTGTCCTTATAAGATAAAGGACAGACACAAGGGGTGTTTGCACACAGAGAAAGGCCATGTGAGGACATGATGAAAAGGTGGCCATCTACAAAAGAAGAGAGGCCTTGAGAGAAAGCAACCCTGCCAACACCTCTAGGACTGTGAGAAAATAAGTTTCTGTGTTGAAGCCACTCACACCGTGGTATTTTGTTATAGCAGCTCTAGCACACTAATACACACATATATTTAGTAGGTAGCAAAAAAAACAAAAAAAATGGATAGCATTATAAAAACATCAGTTTGCTCTGATGTTAAATTCTTAATACAGAAAACATAAGAGCTGATATAAAAATGGATTTTGAATAAATGACTTCTTATGACCTTTTCTCCACCTCTCTAAAGCTAGCTCAGCTCTTCTAGCCGGCATGGCTCAGTGGTTGAGTGTCAACCTATGAACCAGGAGGTCATGGTTCCCAGTCAGGGCAAATGCCTGGGTTGTGGGCTCGATCCCAAGTGTGGGGCATGCAGGAGGCAGCCAATCAATGATTCTCTCTCATCACTGATATTTCTCTCTCTCTCTCTCTCTCTCTCTCTCTCTCTCTCTCTCTCTCTCTCTCTCTCTTTCCCTTCCTTCCTGAAATCAATAAAAATATATTTTAAAAAAAAATTAGCTCAGCTCATCTATCCCCACCACAAAATGTTCTCTGCTCTTCTAGGCCACTCTAGCTCCCTTTTCTGGACCCCTTCAGCACCTTTTCCCTAGACCACTGGGAAAATACATACGTAACATCAGAACCTTGTTCTTATTGTGAACCTTATATTTAAAACTCATGAAAACATACCCATCTATTTGAAGCTGGTGTAAAGGAAGGAAGACAGGTCCTCCTAACCTCCTTGTCTAATCCACCACTCATTTTTTCCTTCCTTTCTTGTTCACAGTGGCCCCTGGGACACCATCACATGAGACATAGGTTTAAAATTCCTGAGTGACATCACACTTTATTATTATCTTAAAATAACCTTAGGAGACTTGATCTCTCATATTAGAACTGAGGCTACACCACACTTTAAAAAAGACTTCCTATATTATGATGACAGAAAGAAGAACTGAACTAATAGCACAGCATAGGGTGCAACCTTTAAATTGCTTATTAAATGAATATGAATCACATAATATTTCTGACTTGCATCAGAAAGCCGCCACCAGTCTGAGAATCTAAGATGCACTATCAGCGGAACGGGGCTCTGCTTGGAGCTGGTACGGTTTGGGCTTCATGGCCAAGCCATACGTGGGCGTCAGGTCCAGCTCGGCCCTGGGGCATTTGTTCAGCTTGAGCTGTTGCAGAACCATGGTGACGAAAAGGAAAACCTCATTCCGAGCAACGTCTTCCCCCAGACACTTCCGGATCCCCATTCCAAATATCAGGACCTTGTCCACAAGACTCTTATTCAGTTCCCTGTTTTCGTTTAGAAATCTCTCAGGACTAAATACATTGGGATTATCCCAGATAGTTCTGTGTAAAATAGACAAAAGTTACATTTTATAAAGGAATTGTTTTATCATTTTGCCATTCTTGCCAACTTCCCCACAATAACTTTGTTTTGCATAAAATGTTTTATTTATGTTTGGAATAGTGTAAATATTCATACGTATGTACATATAGGTACATATATATAATTATAGAGGTATATCATTATTATGAATTTATGTATATATACTCTTTAAATTTATTGACAAGTTTAGTTACCTTAAAGAATTAATACAATTTTTCCTAGTTTATATTAAAATGACTTCTGCTTCATTAAATAGTGAATAAAATGCTTGGAAATTTATTTCAATTTTTTAATGAAGAATTCTACAAAATTCTCATACAAATATTCCAAAATTTGGGTATAAATAACAAGGAATAAATATTCAATCTCCTTTGTTTTAGGTGGTACCTCTCACTCTGGTACCAATAGGTTTAGGAAAAGGCCTTCGCCCATCATCACAGAGCAGCCAGGTCACCTGCCAGCAGCTCTGACTGAGGGTTGCCCACAGTCCCCAACTGCTGTGCATCTGGTGCTCTCTTCTCCCCCACTCTTGTCTCAGGCACCATATCTGCCTTGTCTATGACAACTCCTGCTAGTACGTTTCCTAACACACCCTCAGCCATATATCAGGGACCCACTTGACTTTACCAAGAACTGGGCCTTTTTGTGTATTGATGTCATTCTCTTTCTAGCAGAACATTTGTTTTTTTTCTGCGCCAAAGGTCATAGCCCTGAAGACCTACAAGTCGTACTCAGTCCTCCAGTAAATTTTGTTTGCTCTCATAATCTTTCAAAAATAATTCATTGCTGCAGACATTTAAACATCAGAAGACTCCACGTGAAAATTTCCATTTCCAAGTTCTGTCTTATCGAACGAGCTGACAATGCTGGGACAAGGTCCTGCTTGTCTTCAGTTTACTGAGCGGAATGAGGGATAGCAGGTGACTGCTCCTCACGGCGCCAACAAGGGCGATTCTCTCATTGTTGGTGTTTTCCACTGCTCAGTAGGTGCCTAAGTTTGTGAGCTTTGTTTAAGCTAAATAGGAATAATTTCCCCATGATATCAGTCTTGAACCACATACTCATTTAGTTCAATAAGTGCCTCAATACAAACAGTATTTCTTTATAAGCACCTGTGTTAACACAGCTTGTTTGAACATTACTCAATATTCAATATAATCACAGGTTCCTAGGCTACTAGAACACTTCAGGCACTTGGGATAGTGCTAACTGAGAACAAATGCCATTAAATTTACATTGACTATATTTTTCTTGTAGTGGGTTTTTAAATGCTTAATTTTTATTTAGCATGATCACTGGATGTGAACAGTGGAGGTGTCAACCTTTCTGACAATAGATTTTGCAGTGGGACAGCCTGTGCAGTGAATGTGCTATTAGGTCTACATGGTAATCAACCTCTCTCCCAAATAGCCTGGAGCATGAGACATCAGTCAGAGGAAATCTTGGGTGAAGACAAAGAAGTTGTACCGAGTGCTCTGTATACCGCCCACTGAGTGCATAAGAATGCAATCTCTACCAGTTTACTGGAGACAGTAAGCCCCAACCACATGGAGCATCCAATTTCCATTAATCAGGATATACACACTGAATGTGGGCCCTGCTTCTGCTACTTGCTGCACATGTGACGTTAGGCAATTCATTTCATTGGATTGAGTTTCTTCAGTTGTCAAATTGGGATCATGGTAGCACCATGCAGAGGGTTATTGTTGAGGTTCAGAGGAGGTACTTAAAGGTTTTGTGCCCAACACACACAGTAGGGTCTATAGATATTAGATGCCATCATCATCATTCCCATCACTGCTAACACCACTACCATCATCTTCTTTTAAAATTGTGTGAGGTATCTTCATCCCTGTTCTCCCTTTTAAGGCTAATATGGATGAGACTCTAGCTGTATTTTACTTGCAAATATTTATTGAGTGGCTACTATGTGCCAGGCATTGGTCTAGGTGCTGAGGTAGAGGAAAACCAAACAAAAGAAGGAAAAATCCCTGCTTGGTCTTTCTAATTCTGTTGGGGGATTTCACGCTGCATTTCAAACATCAGCTAGCCATAACCTTGCAGAGGGTGAGCCCTTGAAGTCCTTGGCCCACATCTCCCCAAAAAGCTCACTTTTGAAATTGAATTTGCCCTGAATGAATTTGTATTAAGATATCATATTTCCTGCCGGGCTGGCGTGGCTCAGTGGTTGAGCGTCAACCTATGAACCAGGAGGTCATGGTTCAATTCCTAGTCAGTGCACATGCCTGGGTTGCAGGCTTGATCCCCAGTGGGTGGCATGCAGAAGGCAGCCGATCAATGATTCTCTCTCATCATTGATGTATATATCTTTCTCTCCTTCTTCCTTCCTCTCTGAAATCAATAAAAATATATTTTAAAAAACACATATCACCCTTCCTATTATCAGTGAGAATAGAAAACTGAATTTCCTTATAATTTATTTCAAGAGAAATATAAGTAATGAACTTTGGCTAAGAATGTGTATCTTTTTCTGATTAATAAATAGCAAACAAACAGCCAAACAAATTTAGCCGTCTCCCCCCCCCAAAAAAAAATAATTTTGGTGACTTACTCATCATGATTTACTTGATACATGTTAATAAAGATGCACGTATTCTTGGGAATGAAATAGCCATTCAGAGTAGTGTCTGCTGTGGTACTGGGAAAGCAAAATACATCCTTATCATTACAGCACATCCTATAGTTCAAATGACCCACCCCTAAACTGCTACCCATAATTAACAGACTATATTTATTGTCTTTTTAAAAACTATAATGATATGAAATCTTTATAAATCTTCATTCTTTCATCTTCCATCTTCCACCTGTTGTCAAGTTAGTAATTTATTCTTTTTCTTGTATTTGTGAAACATATTGAGCATTTAACATATTTAAGGCATTGCTATGAGCTAAAATCTCAGTGGAAAATGATCTCAATATTTCTATGACAAAGTTGCTCATATGTAGACACATCAAATTGTATCAGGAGCCCTGGTTAGTGTGGCTTAGTTGGTTGGGCATTGTCCTGTGCACCAAAAGGTTGCTGGTTTGATTCTCAGTCAGGGCACATGCCTGTATTGTGGGCTTAATCCCCCAGTAGGGGACCTGTAGGAGGCAGCTGATGAATGATACACTCTTGCATGGATGTTTCTCTCTCTACTTCTACCTTCCTCTCTCTCTAAAAAAACAATCAATTAAAAATTATAGCAGGGAACTAAAGGGAAATTACAAAGCACTTTCTGCATGTCCAATGTGATTTGACTTTTATTAATAAATAAAGAAAAAATCCAAGGAGCAATGGAATTGGAACTAGGAAATCTGAACTCGAAACACTGCTTACAGGGAACTACTGGGCAAATCTCATATCGACTCTATGATTTCATTTCCTGGCTGTGAAATGGCATTATTTGTGTTGGATGATCTCTAAGTTGTCTCTAGATGAATAATCTATTTTCTAGTCCCATACTCAGTTATGCAAACTGTATACTTTTGTCCTTTATACTTCTGTAATTACGCATGGATCATGGTATATCTCCATATGGCATTAAATCATGGTATGGTTCCATATAGCACTCACTAACTGCCTAGATGGCCCCAACACTCACTTCTGCCCCAGAGGAGCAGCAGTGACATTTCAATTTGACGAGTTTGAGAGGAGATGCTAAACACATTTGGCTTAGCTACTTCTGGGCTCTCTCTTCTGATGAACCAACCTGTAGAAATGTACATTTCATCTATAATCAGTGATGGCCTGAGCTTGGAGACGCAGACATGCAGTCTCCCCTGCAGTTGTCCACCCTTGCCAGAGACTGAGTGGCAAAGTATGTCTAATTCAGGTGAGAAGTATGAGCAAGCCTATTTGGTCCAGCTCTAGGCTGAAGGCACTACCTACTGCTGTGCCAAGAACCATAACTACATCAGCTTCCTGAGGTGAGAGACATCCCCACTCCTTCACTATTTAAGGATGGGAAAAGGAAAAGCATTAAGAATTGCATTTTTCTTTTTAATTGTGTAGAATGGTAATAGTTCAAACTACCAGAACTTTGCTTGTCCATATTCCTATTTAATAAAGCTTATCTACTTAATCTATACTGGCTTGCATTTGTGCACTAAAGAGTGTGGTATGAGATTCAATAAGCTTCCAAATATCTGTAAACGGAAACTCTGTTTAATTTATCTGTGGCAACACTGGCCTCCTGAGTCAATTGGCCAGCAAAATTCTAAGCTACTAAAAATGAAGCCACATCAGCAGGTGGCTAAGATGGCTCAGAGAAGAAGTTAAGTGAGTGTGTATGACACTTCATGTCCAAACACATATTATGTTTGTGTTATCCATTGTTTGGAACTTCGATAGCCTTCTTTCCCCTTAAACAGTACATATAAGATGAAAAATAGCGACATCATAGTTTGGTTATGAAAACATTCGCAACATATGCTCTTTTTCTATGTAAGAATTTCATTAGAGAATTTAAAAATAGAAAGAATTAAGATTTAAAATAATAGCAAAATAATATTAACATAATACGTATTTTAAAGGACCTAAAGTATTCTAAGGCCTTAGATTCCTCATTCCCCCTCAACCTGCCATTGGTTGCTGCTTCAGAGGAGAATCGTTTGCTTACCAATGTGGAATAGTAAAAGGAATAAAGGAGGCATGTCTGAACACTTCATTTATGAAAGCTTCTGTGTAGGGTAACATTTTCCTGTCCTCAAATCTGGGTGGCTTTAGACCAATGTTTCCATCTGAAAGAAGAGGTAGTTTTTATAAAAACTTCATAATAAAAATGACAATTGTAAGAATTATATTTTCATCTGAAAATATGTTACCAATTTCTTCTTGAATTCTGGCTTGAATTTCTGGGTAGTGTATCAAATAAAGAAAGCTCCAGTACAGGCATGTTGATACAGTTTCAAACCCTGAAAAAGGAATGAGACAAAATGCCCTGAAGAAAATCATTAGCAACATTTGTATCTTCAATTTGCTTCATATTTGAATATTATGAATCTAGAGAAAAGAATCTAAATATAACTGAAAATCAATAAACTCACAATAAAGTAATTATTATACAGTAAAAGTTTTTTTCAGAATATAGGCTTAACCTCTCATTGATTAGTATACTCACTATCAGAACAGAAAACAATAAGTGCTGGTGAGAATGTAAAAAAATGGAATTCTCATGCACTATGGAAAGTAGTATGGAGGTTACTCAGAAAATATAAAGAAATTATCATAGAATCCAGGGATCCCATTTCTAGGTATACAGAGTGAGGTAACTATACAAAATGGCCTACATCAAAAGGAGGAAATACTCTAAACTGTAAGTAGTAGAACACACACAAAAATTGCAATTAGACCTTATTCGCCTTACATACTGACAAATACTTTCACATACCAGCTCCAAAGATGTCATTCACAGTGCTTATGATTTCATCGTCATTTAAGGTGGCTGTTTTGGTAGTGGCATATTTTTTATGGCATGTATTAATCAGAGCATCAGTAATGTCTCGCATATGGTCCTGAGGAGACAATTCTTAGTATGATTATTGATCCCTACCTACATTTCATATCACAGATGAATCTCATGTACCATGTTATGTAAAATGAACTCATTTTAAGGTTTTTCAAGAATTTTCTAGAAACTGCCGACAAACTTAATGAGACCCTCAAGAAATCTAATGAGACCCTCGAGGTTGTGATAAAGGTCCAACTAGAAATTAAGCATACACTGACTGAAATAAAGAATATTATACAGACTCCCAACAGCAGACTAGAGGATCGCAAGAATCAAGTCAAAGATTTGAAATACGAAGAAGCAAAAAAATAAAAATAAAATAAAATAAAATAAAATGAACTCAATTCACTTAGGAATATAAAGACTATAGTACACCATTTAAAAACTTGCAATTTTGCTTGTCAATGGTAATGCTCAATTTTAAAAGTATGTAGAATTAAAAAAAAGTTATCAAACTCAATTTTCTTCTTAAAATTTCTTTCAATAAATAAAAAAGTCCTTATGCTGGAAGCACAGTTAGAAAAATTAAAGATTACCTTACTCTAGGGAAATTGCTAGACAAGGAATACAATACGAGGTTTCCAAACCCATTCTAAGAATTTTACTGTAATCACCATGCAAGAAGAGATGAGGCTAAAGTAGGTTAGGGAACAGGAAGAAAATTTATGACTCTATAAATTCTTTTACTTACTGTATTTTTTCTAATTTTCTGATGGGTACCTTGAAACAGATTGTTTACTGCCTTTTCTTTTTCATTGGAAGGGTCTTAATTCCTTACATCTCTTCATTTGTTCAACTATGCACCTTTTCTTTTTAATTTTTTTTTTTTCATGATGCCATCATCTCAGCAAATTGGCCTCCAAGAGCTAGGATACTTTCTAGTCACACCTATTTCATGAGAGAAATTTACTCTTCTCTGGACCATCAAATTTAGCCAAAAAGATTGAGTGGACTCACAAAAGTCCACTTCTGTCACCTCAAGAAATTTTCTATCTACATGTATTTGATCTCAAAGTTCATTTCCATATATTAAAAGGACTCAAATAGGAAAAGAGGGTAACTTTGGAAGCTTCCAATACAATATTCTTTGTAATTATTCAAAACACTCTCTGAAAAAAAAATATGCTGATACTTTTAAGACCTCATAATTTCAGATGTAAAATGAAAGAAACAAAATCATTAGTTCATTTCTTCAAGGAACTCACCTCCATGCTCATCATTCATCAGCCAACTATAGATTCATAATTCAAGTATGTACCTTATCCACACACTAGGGAAATTTCTAAGGTCTCAAAGAATTAAAAACTCTTCTTAAGTTCTCTACATGAGAACTAAATAATGCTGCCCTATAATCTCACTGACTGGAACTCACATTTCCTAATAGTTTTGGTAAGGGTCATTATGGCAAAATTACAGTGAAAGAGCCAGGGAAGAATACATATAACTTTCTGGGTACTCAACACATCTCATCATTATCTTTTGCTTCTCAACAAATCCCTCGTTCTGGCATGGATTTAAATTCTTACCTTATCATACGTAGTAAGATGATCTTGTACGTGTAGTGTAATAAACTCATTCAGGGCCCGATAAAACACTCGAGGAGCATTTATAATCCGCAGTGGAAGGTAGCGAAAACATGGTATGAAATCGGCGGGATTAGCTACACTGGAAGCCTTGAGTAAATCATCATTAGTTTTAACTATCCTAATAAACTCCTCATCACTATGGTCATACCTCTTGCCAAAGCAAAGGGCACAGACAACATTGGCCACTGCACATGTGATGGCATTTCTGGGATCAAAGCTACCCTTCTTCGAAGTCAACTCTGCAAAGACTTGCACCAGCTCAGAAACTTCCTCGATGACCTGTTCCTCAAGCAAGCAAGAGCAGGTGGAGGATTTTGCTTCTGCTTTAGAAAAAGTTCTTAAAGCACTGGACGCTATTTTCTTATGAAGTTTCCAACTCTCTCCATAATTGACTGAAAATGAAAAACTCTTCCCTTCTGCCAGAAAAGAAAACGTATGCATGTTAGGTCTGCCTGCAAAATGCTCTCCATCCTTCAGGAGTACATGCTTCACCATTTCCATTCCATTCACCACCACGACGGGCACCACGCCAAGTTTGATGAGAAAGACGTCGCCATATTTCTTCCTCATCTCTGTGAATGTCAGGAAAGGATGGTCTCCAAGCTGAAGAAGATTTCCTATGAGGGGGAAGGACCACGGGCCAGGAGGAGATAGCTGCCTTCTCCGCTTACTCATGAGGGCTCTCACAAAAACAAAAACTATCACCGAAATGATGAGAGAAGTAGTTACCTCTTCAGGAGTGATTGCCTTGTCCAATATCATTTTCAAAAATAAATACCCTAAAATAGAAACATATAAACCTTATTTTTGCCATGTCAAGCATAGACTAAGAGTCTTTCCCCCTTTGAACGTTTAAATGAAAAATACAGAAACTATTCTTAAACAATGTACTAAGAGGGCAAAATCAAATCCTTAAAAAATGCATTGTACCTTTATTCCAGTTCTATTATTTTTACAATTCTAAACACCAGACCAAATCATTTCCTGTCAGTCATTGACATGATAGACAGGAGAAGAGGACAATTTGATGTAGAAAGCACCCTAGTTTTTGGGAAAGGGATTGAGGCTATAGAAGTTTATCTCATGCTCATTATTAGCTGATGATCTTCCTCCTGTCACTTAATCGAAGTTTGTCCCAGGCTTCTTATCAAAGTATCCTACCCATGCATTCTTTCAACCTACATTTATTGACCCTACTGCATGCCCCCCTCCACCAATGTCAGGCACTAAAAATACGAAATTTCACCTACTAATGAGGAAACTACGTAAACAGAGATAAAATTACAAAGTAGAAAATGCTATAGAGTTGAGTACAGAGTTGTCATTGTTTGAGGATCAAACTAAATAATTATTAAAAATAAGTGCTTAGTGAGTTACAGCCATTTAGTAGATATCTACTTGGTTGTCTGCCGAGCCTGTCCTTGGACTTCCTAGCCCACTTGTAAGCATGGCCTGTTGGTGCTATCCTGCTCCAAAACTTGCCCATGTAGCCACTGGTGGTTGATCCAAGAATGGGCCACTGATCCAAAATGAACCTTCTTTGGGAATATGGAATTGCAACTGTGAAAAATCATCCTCTTTTTGGCAGCTGTATCTACAAAATCTAAATCTATGATTTGGGGACTTTTAACCCACTAGGACAGTGGTCTGCAAACTCATTAGTCAACAGAGCCAAATATCAACAGTACAACGATTGAAATTTCTTTTGAGAGCCAAATATTTTAAACTTAAAATATATAGGTAGGTACATTGTTATTAACTTAATTAGGGTACTCCTAAGGCTTAGAAAGAGCCACACTCAAGGGGCCAAACAGCCGCATGTGGCTCGCGAGCCACAGTTTGCCGACCACTACACTAGGAGGACATGAGGAACTTTGGAAGCAGATCTTAAAAATAAATGGAGTAGAAAAGAAAAGAAAAGAAATAATAGACTGAGGGAGGTCTCATGACCTTGCATGCACGACTTCTTGCACCTTCATGAGATCTTGTTCTTGGACTGAGTTCTTTCCTGTTTAAACTAGCTACCATTTGTTTCTATTACTTCATCAAAGAGGGTCCTAACAAAAGAAAAAGTTTCATACACATGAGAATATATTTGTTAACTATTGCATTTTATAGTAACTATAGAAGGAATAAAAAACTTTCCCTTAAAAGCATACATAACTGAACTGTTGACCTTTCTCAAATTATTTATGGGACAAATAGGCAATATACTCGTTGTACAATGTAAATGCCTGGTTCTCACTTGATTTTCTAGACAATTTAAATGAACATGCAAGCAAACTGTTTTTACCTGTCTCACCTGATTGCTTCACTTTTCCAAGTTCACAGGAAAAATGCGGTTCCTTTTTTAGTAATCAGTGCCACTCCACTACACCACCTGGATTGGCCCTGATTACTAAAAAATGAACTTTGGAGTTAAAAGTGAGAGATCAACTTCTTTTACGGAAAAAAAAAAAGAACCTGAATACACATTTAAACTAAAAATAAAAAGGCAACAGAAACAAACCTGAATCTATAATCAATGCAACAGCCACAGTTTGAAAAATTTCATTTTCTCTGTGCAGAACGGAAAGAATGGGGGCTTCATTGTGTTTCTGCTTTGCAGTGTGCTGATTTTGCAAAGCCTCTTCCATTAAAAATAACTGTGACCATGTATCACACACTTACCATGTGCCAGACCCAGAACTCAGCATTAAATCTACATTGTCTTTCGAAACTCATACTTCTGTGAGAGTTATAAAGAAGCTTAGAGAGATAAAGTCATTTCCCCCATTTATTTCCCTTGTTTTTTGAGCTGAATAATGAATCATCAATTACCTCTGGCACTTGCTTTTTTACAAAATTTAATTTCTCTTGGGCATTCATCAAAATGCCAGTTTGCACATTGAGAACTATCAGTAGCATTTCCAAAGCAGACTGCTAAATAGGTGAGAAGGGGATGTATCTGGAAGAATTCTGGATCCTCATAAAGATGACTAGGTTTCCTGCTTCACTCCTCCCCTGTTTAGCTGTGGGACTTCTGTTAAATTACATCTTCCTTTTCCTCATTTTCCTCATCTATAAAATGACTACTTTAGACTGGAAGACTTTGAAGGCCCACTGTGGGGCAGAAGCACTAGTGTGAGTACAGGGTTAATTGCGCACCAATATTATGTTGCCAGAGTTTCCAGGCAGTTTACCATTCATCAACAAATGTAAACAACTGTGGTCACCCTGAGTTCTTTTTCAGCCCGGGCTCTTCTAGCTTCTTTCATTAAACTCTCTTTGGCAGCTTACCAGGCCCAGAAGCATTGCCAGCTTTCCCAGCAACTTTCTTGGAAAACTCTGAAGGCACATTCTGTTCCTGTTGTTTTGGGAGTGCATTAGGGCTGAGGACAGGGAGTAAAGGGTTCCCGAAGGGTGGGCTGCTACATCATCAAAGATTCAAGGGGAACTCTAGAACGACCCAGGTAAGAAAAGCATACTGATTCTCAAACTTGGACACACACATTAGACTTCCTCCCTTTCCCTCCCCCAACCGCAACCCGACCCCAAAAGCTATTAAACTATTGCAGTGGCCATATCCAACCAATTAAATTCAATCTCTAGAGGTAGATGCATTTTTTAAAAGCTCCTTAATATGACTAAGGGGCATTCTAAGCAGAGGACATTTTTTTTTTTGGAGGAAAAACAACCTGCTATGACATCAACAAATCCATTTAAACAAATTACAATGACGCTGGAAGGCTCACCTGTGCCAAGAGATCTTGCAGGTCAGTGTGAGGAATCTAGTGGAAGGATCTAATGATGGAGAAAGTTTTGGGAAAAGTTGATGGTATCCTGAGAAACAGAACAGTCTGGTTGCAGCAGTAGCAGCAGCAGCAGCCGCAGGCCTCGGGAAAGGCTGGGAGAGAACATTCTGGGAAGAGAACAGGAGGAGAGGACCTTGGACCCATGTGGGGAGGAGTTTGGAACTGGATTAGGGCATTTGAGAGCTGGGGGGAGGGATGGAGCAGCCTCTGTAGCCAGAACTGGATCCAGGAAGCTGTAGGATTCTAGTCTGAGTGGGAGAGGGACACAATGGAGCAAGGGGTTCTGAAAAAGAGGATGAGATAGAAATTGATCTTGGAAACAAGCAAGATCAATTGGGAAAGGGAGAATGGAAAAGCTGTCATTTTTAAATTGCTGGTGAGCAGCAGAGGTAAGGGCAAAAGATAGGCAGTAAGGAAGCAATGAGCAGGAAGGAAAAAGACAGTGGTACAGAGGCATTGCTTTGCTTTGAGTTTCAGGAAACCAGGAAAATGCACTGCACTCTAGGCAAGGAATGGGAGGAGGAGAGAGCTGGACTTAAAAATCTAGGAAACTTAGGTTCCCTTTCTCAGGTGGATTTGGTAGATTTATCAGGAGTCTTCACCATCCGGATTTGTATTTACACAACTAGAACAGTCAGCTTCTGAGTTTGATATTCATAGCTTTGATTTAAGAATATAGTCTTACCTACCTCACAGCACTTTTTTCATCTAAAGGCTAGTTTTTCTACCTGTTACTAGGAAAATGATCTGTGTCCTGTCAAGATGTCTGCAACTGATTATATAACAAACACTTTTTTAAGCTTTGGAATCTTTGGTACATAAATATTTGAGGTTTCAAGGTCATCGTTTAATGGGAATATCCAAGAATGATCATTGTTAGTCAGAATGTGCTCACGTAGGGAAGAAAGCAATCCCCAAAGTGCAAGCTAAACCTAATGTATTTCCTCAATGATAAACCTTCAGGCCCTGAGCTATAGTGTCATATGCATAAAATATCTTGATTTCTAAATATTTAAACTCTAAAAATTCAATGAGACTTGGGTTGCTCTAAAACAGCGGTTCTCAACCTGTGGGTCGCGATCCCTTTGGCAGTCGAAAGACCCTTCCACAGGGGTCGCCTAAGACCATCCTGCATATCAGATATTTACATTACAATTCATAACAGTAGCAACATTACAGTTGTGAAGTAGCAACGAGAATAATTTTATGGCTGGGTCACAACATGAGGAACTGTATTGAAAGGGCCAGAAGGTTGAGAACCACTGCTCTAAAGAGTCTTGAAACAATCAATGTCTACCACATTAACAGAATGAAGAGATCAAAACCACACTATTATCTCAACTGACATAAGAAAGATTTGATAAAATCCAACACTTAAGATAAAAACACTCAAAAAACTAGGAATAGACAAGAACTACATCAACATAATGAAATCCATATGTGAAAAATCCATAACTAATATCACACTCAGTGATGGAAGACAAAACTTTTCCTCTAAGATCAGGAACAGGACAATGATGCCCATTTGCATTCAACATAGCACTTTAAGTTCTAGCCAGAGCAACTAGACAAGAAAAAGAAATAAGAGGCACCCAAATTAGAAAGGAAGAAAGTCATAGACAATATAATCTTATATTTAGAAAACTTAAACAATTGTTTCAAAAAAATTAGATCTAGTCATTATATTCAGCAAAGGTGCAGAATACAAAATCAGTACATAAAAATTAGTTGGTTTCTATACATTAAAAATGAAAACTCTGTAAAAGAAATTAAGAAAACAATTTAATCAAAACTACATCATCAAAAAGTACAATATTTAGGAATAAAATTAACCAAGAAAGTAAAAGGCTTATACACTGAAAACTAGAAAAAATTGCTGAAAGAAATTAAATAAAACACGAGTAAATGGAAAGACATTTATATTTTGATTCATGTTTATGAAACAAAATTTCTATGGCTTTTTTTGCAGAAAAAGAAAAAATCATCTAAAAATTCATATGGAATTTCAAGGGGCTCTAAATAATCAGAACAATCTTGAAGAAAAACAAAGCTGTAGTGCTCACACTTTCTGATTTCAAAACTTACTACAAAACTATAGGAATCAAAAGTAAGACACATAGACCAATAGAATAGAAGATGGTCAAATGATCAAATGTTATTGGCGGTAAAAAATCATTTGACCATATCTGTGACCATCAAAATTAAAATCTTTTGTACAACAAAGGTCACTGTCAACAGATCGTGATAAGGCAACCACAAAATGGGAGAAAATATTTGCACATCGTGTATCTGACAAGGGATAATGTCCAGAAGAGATTAAAAAAATTCCTATAACTGACCAGCAATAACCTAAGAAAAAAACACAGGCAAAGAACTTCAATAGGTATTTTCAAAACTATACAAGTAGCCAAAAAACACATGAAAAATGCTTAGTATCACTAATATGTACATGCAGTGAAATATTATTTAATTTTAAAAAGGAAAGAAGTTATGACATATACAGCAACATGAATAAATTTTGAGGACATTATTCTAAGTGAAATAAGCCAGTCACAGAAGAAAAATATTGTATAATTCCATTTATATTAAGTACCAAAAGTAGTCAAAGTCATAGAGACAAAAAGTAGAATAGTAGTTTTTAGGGGTTGGGGAGGGAAAGAATGGAAAGTTACTGTTTAGTGCTTAATATCACTAAACTGTGTACTTAAAAATGATTAAAATTATATATATATATATATATATATATATATATATACACAATTTGTCACAACAAAAAAGGTATGACCAAAATTCTCAGGTGAAAAACTATAATTCTCAACATATTAGGCTTCTTTTTTCAGTTAGTAGTACCCAACTTATTTAGCATGCATTTCTCATTCTCATGCCATGGTATATAAATTTTAAAAATGAACATGTGGTCAAAGTTCTCTTTCAAGCATTGCCTTGTGTTGATTTTTAAAAATGTTTTTAGTTTAATTCTTTATTCATGTATCACTTCTAACCACTTCAGAGATAAGTGAGCTGGGATTATCTTTTTACCCTTTATTTTAATATTGCAGTGTTTGAATACTTGAACTTTTCTTAAATAAATATAAAAGCCACTCTTTCTTTATAAAAAATAATTTCAAAGAGTACTTGACCCCCAGGAGTAATAGCGATGACTGTATTACTAGGTCTAGATTTGACTTGAGATCACAGTGAATCCATTTAGAGGACTGAAAACAAACTCAAGAATGTATCTAGTTCATCTGTTCTACGAAGGACCCATCCATTCCAGGAAGATGGACCTTTGTTGTTTTATTCACTTTTCTAAGACACTCAGTAGAGCCTATTCTATTTCTCCATAATACTATTCCCGGTCCAAATTGCCCATGCTTAGCAACATGCTCTTCATAAAATTCATTCCCTCTTATTTTTCCTTCTTAGGAAATAATACAGTCTGTTCCTACAATGCATGCTTCTGTAAAAGAAATGTACTCATATCTGTTAGGGGATTTGTGTTATTTTAAAGAGGAAGTCGGGTTTATTCAGTCTGTGATTTCCCCTAGTATATGAATGTTTTGAAGTCAGCAGGAGCAAACTTTCTCTCAAAGAGCATCATTATCAGTAGATGACGAACTAAGTGGGGGTGGGGGAGGCTTAAATTCTGAGATATTCTTCTTCGATGGCTGGCTTAGTGGCTATGCTTCCGTACATTTAGCTATCTGGTGAAACTGAAAATGTCGATGGAAAATATCCAAAAATATTTACTGTTGTGGTTTAAAAACGAAAAGGTGGTTGATTAAGAATTCTATACCCCAGATCATTTCTTTTTTATGAAACTGGTCTTTTTAAATATAAAGACCCTCCTTAAAGATCTCCGTGAGAAAAAAGTCTGAGCTGAGAGTGAAAGGGCAAAGTGTGGATTGCCAATGGCGATGTAAGGTGTTGAGATTTTATTAGGGTTTTAATGATTTTTATTAGTGCTCTGGTTGAAAATAAGAATGCCTTTGAGTGGCCTGCTGCTAACCCTATTTTTCCAATAAGCCCTATTGCAGTCCCTTTGGCAGAAATCTAGGTATTTTTGGAAAAGATATATTTTGTTATTGTAGAAACATCTAGTTCCTAACATTTTTTAGCATTATTTGCAGCTTCATATAAATGATCTCATTTAATCCTGAATATAAGTTGTTGTTGTTGTTTTCAGTTCAGTATAATTATGCCCATTTTTTAGAATATTTCACTGTGGTTCAATGGTGTTTTTTGCAAGAATAAAATGGTGACATTTATCACCTTGGCTTTATTATTCTCTCTGTTTTTACAAGTAAGTTGCAGACATGATTGATGCCCCTTTATCTCTGGATATTTTGGAGTGTGTTTCTTAAAAACCAAGACAGTTTCTTACATAACTACAGTACAAGTAAAGCCAGGAAATCAACCATGATACAATAATATTGTCTTATTCAAATTATCCGATAATAGCAGAAGAAAAACACATTGCATGTAGTTGTCATGTTCTTATAAGCGCTCTCAGTCTAGAATTGTTACACAGCTTTCTTTTGTCTTTTGTGCTTTTAACACATTAGAAGAATACAGGCTTAAAGCAAAGAGAGAGAGAAAGAGAGAGAGAGAGAGAGAGAGAGAGAGAGAGAGAGAGAGAGAAAGAAAGAGAGAGAGAGGAGGAAGGAAGGAGGGAAGGAAGGAAGGAGGGAGGGAGGGAGGGAGAGAGAGAGAGAGAAAGAGAGAGAGAGAGAGAGAGAGAGAGAGAGAGAGAGAGAGAGAGAGAGAGAGAAGAGAGAAAAAGAAAGAAAGAAAGAGAGAGAGAGAGAGAAAGGAGGAAGGAAGGAAGGAAGGAAGGAAGGAAGGAAGGAAGGAAGGAAGGAAGGAAGAAAAGAAAAAGAAAAATAGTAGTGCAGGCTGATTCTTTCTTCAGATGTCATTATAAACATAAATTCATCTGACTTTTCCTCATGATTATGTTCAGATTATGCATTTTTTTTCCAGAAAGTTCCAGTGATAGTTTGTTTCTCTAAGTACACAGCTTATTAACATTGGGACCAGCATTTAAACCTGAGCAAAGACCCAAAGCCTACATCCTCAACCTCCATTCATAACATCATGAATAATTATGGAATTTCTC